CAAGTTCTTTGACTACATTTATTCTGTGTCAGAAACTTATAATGTGTCAAATATTTAATTACAATCTAAATTCAGACCTGTATCAAGCTTAAATATTGTTTCCATTTTTGTCCAACTGTTCAGGGTTGGACCTCTGTGGTCGTATCCAGCTGCACTCAGTGAAGCAGTTTATTTGATTTCTGTTTTACTATTTCACCAAGTTTTCTAATGGAAAAATTTTGTTATTAATTTGGAGCAGTATGGCAGATGGCTCTAGCTATTCATTACCTTGCAATAACTTGAGAACCGTTCAATTAATGCTTTTAAATTTTGATATTTTGTTACTGATTACAAGACAAGAGGTCTACTTTGATATTGAAGATTTTCATTCAGGAGATATGCTCCTTAATTGATTGGATAATGACACTTTAAATGAATTATGTGCCACAACTTTTGATCTTGTCCCTTTCAAATTAATGTTTTTATCCTCTTGAAAAATGAAGATCAACATTAGTTTTGATCATTTTCACTTTTACCTTCCAGACCAGCATTCAAAATGAGTGATTTGTCATTCTTACTACAATCTGTAAAGTTGCTATAACTTGCAGAACATAAGACGATTTTCTCTTGAGAATAGTCTCTGTAAGCATAAACTGCTGCGCACATGAGTACATTCTGAGTTTCTGTTACTAGCTTACTGGTACTTTTTAGTAGTGTAAGGAGTAAGTGAGAACCATACTTAGACTAAAATTTCTTCTAGGTACTAAGAGGTTATTTTTAGCACCTCATCTGTTATTCCTGGTATGATTAAATACCCGTTCAGGACTTTATGTAATTATGGTATGCTATTGTCCATTTATATGTTTGTCCTAGCATGTCTAACATTAGCACAATATTGCTTTGATTAAAGTTTCCAAACTGAAAGTTTTTCCTTTAAGGTAAGATTCCTTGCAAATTTTAACTGCAGTGTAGTGACTTTTATCAATCATGACTACAACCAGCTAAGAAGGAAGACTTGAAAAACAAATGAAACAAATTCTAAAAAATCCTGTATCGAGCCATATGGTATGAATATACACTATGTGATCCCCTTAAAGTGTAACAGTTGATGACCTCAATTACTGTCATATCTAGTCAGAATAATTACTAAAGCAGAACTGCAGTTTATGACCTAGACCTGGTTTTATTTACAAGTACATTAGGTATTACAACACAACTGAAATTAAAAAAAAAGTAATTGATCATTATTGAGTCATTTGAAATGTTGAAGAATATGTTCTTTTAAATGCATCCTATGAAATCATACAGTTTATAGACTTGATGAATGGACTTAGGCGTTAATGAACTAATTATGAAGTAATGAATTGCCTTCACTTGTAATAACTGCATTGATTATTGAATCGAGTTATAAATGATGATATAATTATTTCCTCTCAACATAAAGCGCCTGGATTGGAATCTTTAAATGTTAATTCCTTCTAGCCAAGTAGAAATTTAATCTGAGGATGATTAAGCCTATTAATACACATTTCTCTTTTTTCTGTTGATTCATGTAATGTACATTTTCAAAAATTAGATTAGAGGATATTAATGAAACAGTAGAACTGTTGAAGTGTTCAGAATAGATATGAAAATAACTGTCAGAATTGTCAGATAAATATTAAAATTTCAACATTTTATGGTATCAGTCCTCAGATATGATTGTCAAAATAAAATGCTCCTGTCCATTTATTTTGCCAAATTTAAATCAGAAATGAAAATACTTAGGCTGATTTTAGTTGCTGTTTATAATAAACAAGTTGTGGAAAAAATACTGATAATTTTTTGTCAATTTGAAATTGAATTCTTAACATATATATATATATATATATATATATATATATATATATATATATAAAGATATCTTTATAAACAAAAATATCCTAATAAATATATGTTCTTTAACTGTATGTACCTTTATTAACCCTTATCATGCAGGGTTATTGACTGGAAACAACAGACACAATGACCACCTCTCAAAACCATCATATTATCAAACTGATTGAATATGAATTCTGGATGTATTTTTACTCTTGACTGCAAATTATTTTCCATTCAGCCTTATTTGTTCATTTAGTGATATGTCAGACATCTTAGATCTGAGTGGTATGATTAATGCAAGTTTGATTTCTGTTTGATATAGTCTGGAGGTTATCCAAATGATGTATGAGGTTGACTCTCTTTTCCTGATTAGCTATTTTCTTATTAGCGGAACAGTGATAGAATTTTGTTATACACAAATCAGATTGTGATAGATTCAATTTTTACAAAATTCGCTTGCTGTAATTGATTTCCTGGGGCAATAGCTGGTAAATTACCTTATAAAGAAGTTTCAGTTATCATTACTTAATATAATGATGCAGGTAATTGCCTCTTAATAAAATTTACTGATTTTGTTTGGTCTTACCCTAGCTAAAGGACAGCATGACAGGTTGTCAGTGTGACTCTATAGTTAATGTTTATTGGGTGTATTAATTAGACATGTTGGATAAATAGATTGAATCAAGACTGAAAACGAAATCATAGAGATGTATCTATAGAAAGTAGCATTAAACTTAATTGAACATGAACTAAACTATAGTACAACTTTATGCACTAATTAAAGAAGATAGTTACATGTAAATCACACAAGATAAGTATGCCCTCAAAACCCAGGAATGAATGTAACATCACAATTAAATATAGTTATTGGTATATTCCTATACTTCAAGTAAGAACAAAATCCATGGGATGATTAATGAGGATTTCCCTATGCAGTGTCAGATACAATTGTTCTCCGTGGCAAAGTCTGACAGATGATGTTACAGGACTCCAATAATAAATAATGATTGTCCTTTTGTGAAGCAGCCAGTACAGAAGTAGGAATAAATAAATTGCTTTATGATCTGGTTATCAAGCTTTCCTTCATTTCATCCATTTCAGTTTACTGGAAGACATCTTAAATGTAACCATATCTTTCATCCTCAGTTGATGTTTTTTCTTTACTTTGATACAAGTTGTAGGTGCCATATTTACATGGTTTCAAGAGGTGTTTGTAAAATCCTGTTTTGAAAAGCTACATGTATCTGAAACGGTATAGTTTTTGATACTTTGATTTCATTGTTTGGTTTATCCTCTAGAAATATTAAAATTTGTTTCTTCATCCCATAATGAGAATAGGAATTTGTGGGGTAAAATTTAAAAACTGTGAATTATTATGCTGGGGTTTGCTAAACAAAATTTGAACTGAGCCCTTTAACTTTAGCTGAAATTGTCCATAGGGCTTATGTTTATTTTTCATATCGTCGTCCGTCCTCTGTTGTCTGTCGTCGTCGAAAACTATTTCAAGAATCTTCTCCTCTGAAACTACTGGGCCAAATACTTTTAAACTTTCAGTGAATGTTCCTTAGGGTATCTAGTTTATAAATTATATCCGAAGTTTTGATCCATTAACAAACATGGCTGCTATGGCTAAAAATAGAACAAAGGGGTCAAATGAAGTTTTTGGCTTTTATTTCAAAAACTATAGCAGTTAGAGCATAAGTGACATGGAGTTAAAGTGATGAATAAGTCAAAATCGATCTGCTATGAAATTTTCAGACCAATTGGACCACCCATTGTAGAGTTACTGTCTGAAATAGTTTATTTTTATGAAATTTTACTGTTTTTGGTTATTATCTTAAATGTTATAATAGATAGAGAGAAAGTGTAAATGGCAAAAATGTTCAGCTAAGTAGGATCTACAAATAAGTCAAATGATCAAACTAGTCAATTGACTTCTTAAGGAGTTATTGCCCTTGAAACTTTTATTTTTTACATTTTTTCATGCAAGTCTATTACTTTTAAAAAATCTTTTTCTCTGAAACTACTTGGCCCAATACTTAAAGACTTTATTTGGATGTTCCTTGGGGTATCTAGTTTGTAAATTGTATCCAAAGTTTTGATTCATCAACAAACATGGCTGCCATGGCTAAAAATAGCAATAAATGTTCAGCTAAGTAAGATCTACAAATAAGTCAACATGATCAAAATAGTCAAATGACCCCTTAAGGAGTTATAACCCTTAAAACATTTTTTTTTTTTACATTTTTTGTGAAAGTGTAATTACTTTTTCAAAAATCTTCTTCTCTGAAACTACTTGGCCAAATACTTAAAGACTTTATTTGGATGTTCTTTAGGGTATCTAGTTTATAGATTGTATTCGGGGATTTGATCCTTCAAAAACATGGCGGCAGTTTCTTAAAATAAAACGTAGGGGTCAAATGAAGTTTTTGGCTTTCATATCAAAAACTAAAGCAGTAAGAGTAAAACTGACACAGCTGAAAGCTTAAGTGTTAAACAGGTTTAGATCTACCTGTCAAGTAATCTTCAGACCAATAGGACAACTTATTGTTGGGTTACTGTCCAGAAATAGTTAATTTTTAGGAAATTTTACAGTTTTGGGCTATGTACAAAATGTATTATCTTTAATATTATTATAGAAAGAGAGAAAGTGTAAATGACAAAATTGTTCAGCAAAGTAAGATCTACAAATAAGTCAAATGCCTGAAACTGAAATTACAGGTTAGCGATATCAGGCTCTCATGAGCCTCTTGTTTCATGTTTTATATATATATTTTCAAGATGGCTGTTTTATATGAGCACTTCAGTTGATTGTTGAAGACCTTCCAGTAAATGTTTAGAGGAAGAACAATGATAAACACACTATTTCTTTAACATATTGTTATTTCCCAGTAAATCATTAGATTGTTGTACCTTACACATCCAACTCATGTCCCTTTTCTTCAAGTGGCATATATATGTATATATATATATATATATATATATATATATATGTGCTATAGAAAAAGAGAGTACATTTTATAGTCTATCAGATTCAATGGTAAGTTGTCCGAAAAGATATGGCAATGACATACTTGTTAGATCATTAACAAATTATGATAAATTTAATTTACATGATTTGAAATATTAAAGGTAATTGTATATATATATATTACTTACAGGTAGTAGTAGATGAACATGTAATTGACCAAGGTGATGATGGAGACAATTTTTATGTAATAGACAGGTATGTTAATTACCTTAGTTCTCAGGGAACTCGGAAGCAGTGTTTGTTAAATTATTGATTGGAAAATGAAATTATCAATTCTTTACTTGTCTCTGTCCTCCCCATCATGTTTAGCAGTTTTATAAAAGATTTGACCCAAGTTATCAAAATATATAAGATATGGACCTAGTTTAATTTTGATAAAAATAAGGAGATGTGGAATGATTGTCAATGAGACAACTATCCACCAAAGAAGAAAGGACGAGGATACTTTTCTGGATCATTTGAACTTGGGAATCTTCAAACAATTTAAATCTATTACTAATCAGAGAATAAAAATACAAGATGGCAATACAAACTTATGAAAGCCTAAAACACATCACAGTATATGTCTTCAGCAAAATCTGCAGTGAATAATACATGCATGTTTACCCATTTATAATAAAAATTCATTGTTTATGCTACAGCTAGAGGTCAAATGTGTTACAACACCTCAAAATTAAGCTGAATATTTCATTAAAAACACATTTTTAAAAATTGCCCTGAAGCTTTTTCTTATCTTTTTTGAATGCATTTTTTACTGTTAAATACAGAAAGATCTGCAAGTACTTGAAATTGTTTTGAAATATTTGTATGAAATAAACTTTAATAGAGAATTTACTGTTTAAAGACAAATCTGAATTTCTGTTTGAAAAAAATATTTAGGTTTATAGCATGTGTAGTGAGTTTGTATTTGAATAATGATATCTCAGTAATGAGATGTCATAAACATATTTCTTAATCACTGCAAATAATAAAAAACTGAACACATGAGTTCAACAGTAATAATTTCATTAAAGTCTGATATGAAATAACTTTTTGACATATACAAATTTGAACTGTGTTTTTATATGAAATGTGTTGCTTATTTTTTGAGGTGTGAAACACTTTTACCTCTGACTGTAGAATAGTAATGGATTTTCAGTTTGCTTTTCATCTCTGATGTTTTGGTTTTGCTATTTGATGAATACCTTCTACCAATATTGATATCACGAACATGGGTCATTACACATTTGATAAGATTTAAATATTCCTAACCTATTTAGGTTCATTACGTCTAAGTTTTCCATTTGATATGGCGGTTCAGCAACAATAGAATGTCATTAGAATGTCAGATTTAAATCTTATTATCTTGTAGGAGTTTAGAATTGTGATTTACGGACTAAAGTCAATTGTGTGACAATAATTACAACAAAGAAAAATCATAATCAACCTGATTGATAAAATGTCCCACTCAATTTTATACAGTGATATGGTAATTTTGTCAAAATACGTTTACAATGGTTTGAAAACAGCTGATAATACATAATTTCTCTTCATTCTAAGTTATTAATCCATTATCAATAAAGAATCTTGCAAAATAAGCTGGTATAGTAATGAAGTCTTTTGTGACTAATACTTGATACATACCATATTAGGTATCCTGAGACGTAAATATCTGATATGAGAAGTCTGTTCTAATTATCTTGACAATATCATTTCCATTTTAATCAGAATTAGTTGGTTTAGATGGGCTGTCCATACTTTTAGCGATATATTGCTATGATGGTATACATAGGAGAATTCCATCAGGAAAACAGAATTTCCTGTCTAACATCTTATAGTTTGATCTGACTGACATGTTGTTTTGATTTTCTTTGAATAAGAAAATGATTGTGTTTCCGGTCTATTAGTATATATTTTGGTTTAAATGACACATTTATATCTTCTCTTTCAGTGGAAAATACGATATATTTGTAAATGGCAATCTGGTAGGAAACTATGACACCAATGGAAGCTTTGGTGAATTAGCATTAATGTACAATATGCCACGAGCAGCCACAATAGTTGCCACAACAGAAGGAACATTATGGGCAATGGTAGGATTTTAAATAATGGTCCCTTAAATAATTTCAGTCAATCAGATTTTTTATCTGTTATCAGCTTTGGGCCAGTGTGAGCTTTTCTCATCACTCAGTATCTGTCAAATTCCGTTGTCTGTTGTTCTTTAACTTCTACAAAAATCTTCTGAAATCCTGGGCCAATTATAAGCAAACTTGGCAACTATTATCCTTAGGGTATCTTGTTTAAAATTACATACAATGATCTAACCTATCAAGCACGATGGCTACCAAGGCTTAAAATAGATTATAGGGCTAGAATGCAAGTATTGCATATTATCTTGAAAACCATTCTGGCACTGGGAGGGGAAGAAATGTTTCTTTTATGACATGGAAAAGAAGTGAAAGGTATGTTTCACCTACATATTTTTGTATTTTAATTTTTTGATGTAAAGTATGGATATAATTTTCAAATTTAAGGCATCATGAAGTGAAACTATACTGATATAATAAATATCCTTTGAAGTTATTGAAGACCACATGATTTTTGTCACGCCTTGACGGAGTCAAAAAGCGAAACATAGGTATGCTGTTTCCAGTGGCGGCGGCGACGTCATCAATGAATTAGTTTGTGATTAAGTCTAGTTCATGGTGAACCACTAGTGGTAGGTCAATGATATTTGGTGTGCAGTTGTATTAGCATTGGCACATCTCATTACCATGGAGATTATTTGGCCCCGCCCCCTCAGTCAAGGTCTATTGACTTTGAAACTTTGCTTAGTTTACATGTATTAGTTTGTGATTAGGTCAGTTTATGGGGAACCACTAGTGGTAGGTCAATGATATTTGGTATGCAGTTATATAAGCATTGGCATATCTCATTTCCATGGAGATTATTTGGCCCTGCCCCCTCATTCATGGTCTATTGACTTGAAACTTTTGCTTAGTTTTCATGTATTTGTTTGTGATTAGGTCAGTTTAAGGCGAACCGTTAGTGGTAGGTCAATGATAATTGGTATGCAGTTGTATAAGCATTAGCACATCTCATTTCCATGGAGAATATTTGATCCCTACCCCTCATTCATGGTCTATTGACTTTGAAACTTTTGCTTAGTTTACATGTATTAGTTTGTGATTAGTTCAGTTTAAGATGAACCACTAATGTTAAGTCAATGATATTTGGTATGCAAATGTATTGGCATTTGCAAGTTTCATTTCCATGGAGATTATATAACCCCACCCCCTAATTATGGTTCAATGACTTTGAAACTTTTACATAGTTTACAAGTTAATGTTTGTGTTTAGGTTTGTTTAAAGGGAACGACTTATGAAAAGTCAATGGTATTTGGTTTGCAGTTGTATTAGCATTGGCACATCTCATTTCCATGGAGATTGTTTAGCCCTGTACCTTCAGTCATGGTTCATTGACTTTGAATATTTGCATAACTTACATGTTAAAGTATTGCTATTTTAATTTCAACATTTGCATTATCAAATGAACAAATCGGCAAGACATATCTCTGTGTTAACAGTTTATTTAATATCGAATTCGTGACATGCACAAAGTAAATAGGTAATGTTTAGTAAAAAGGTAATTTAACATAATAAATCTATCAAATACACTTGATATTGACTTCCAACTTTCTGGAAGGATTTGACACGAAAACACTTGTGTTCATGCTTAGAATTTGTCTCATTTAAAAAAGATTAAGTGTGCCGTACAAATGGATTCCCTTTTCTATAATTTGTAATGACATTCAGATTGAATTCTACTTTATAACCTCCTTGTTATGAAGCAGCAGGTGTACTGGATTGCCTTTTCTGTTTGTCCATTATCTTAGCCAGGAGATGTTTTTGTTTTTATTAAATATGGAAATTAAGTTTAATTTGATTGAGCAGTCCTTAGTCATTATATTTAAATGGATTGAATTATAAGGCAGTGTTCCACCAAATGACAGACTAATTGTTATGTGAAATATAACTCCCAATGAATTTACATGAATTAAATGCAAAATACTGTTAGCTGTGTAAATTTAGACTTTATACCAAATTTCCTTTTTAAAATGATAAATGTGTACTATTTGTTATTTCTACAATTGAAATTCAGTTATTTGCCAAGATATAGTACTGTTAATTCAGAAATTATTGCCAGGTTTTCATAAATGCCAATAATGCAGCTTAGTGAGGATTGCAATAATAAGAACTCACATTCTAATATCTGATACATATATATCTATGCAGATTTTCCTGGAAATTGCAATAACTAATCTTGCATTTTTGTCCATTCCATATAAAAATCACAATAATATATACATGCAATAATTTCTGAATTTGCAGCATATAATATATCTTGGATCAATTTTAGAGTCTGTTAATATTCTTTTTTTAGAAAAATTTCCTAGTACACAGTTAAAACATCTTCCATTTTTCTAAATTCAAAAATAGTAGATATTAGACATGTTAGATTTTAAAACTGCTGTCACAAAGAAATGAACCTAGCATTACCAAGAAAAGTTGTTAAGTAGAATAATACTCCTGGTGGGCTGTTTTATTGACTTGCTGTTAGATATCATTGACATTTCACTGATGAAGTGGCGTGTGTGTGATATATTTCATTCTGAAGAATGAATTCATTGGAAAAACAAAACAATAGTATTTACATGCATCAGAAATATTGGCATTGCTTTTGGTATAAATAGGTAATTTAAGACTTTGTCCAGAAATTGTTTCCTTATACATATTTGTAATCATGCTTTAGGAAAACACAAAATATACCTCATGAACTGCTGTTAATGTGAAGAACTGAAGAAAAAATGGAAATGGCAGTCTGAATATTTCCCTAGTGAATCGCTTGACTGGCCATAATCCTATGAAGTTAAGATTTGGTGAAAATTGATTATTAATGATGGGAATCCATAATGTAAGGTGCCCATAGGTCTACTGAAATCCTTCTGTACTTATATAAGTATAGCTAGTTTGATTAACCAATGGGAAAGGATTTGATTATAAAATTAAAGGATATCCAAGGTATTCTAAGAAAAAAAGAAAAAGGAGGGGAGGATTGTTGGACAACACTTTTGTACCCAACCACTCATTATTTTATTTTTTCATTTGTAGCAGAATTGTATTTGTTTAAACTTCTATTTATAACACACAGAACATTTATATGTGGCTTCAAACCCTCGCATATACTTTTTTTATGATCCCGCCACAGTGGAGGGGGCATTAAGTGTTACCCTTGTCCGTACGTACATCCCGAAATTGGTTTCCGTTCTCTAACTTTAGTTTGCTCAACCCAAATGATATGAAGCATATACACAATGCTTATTACCACAAAACACAGGTCAAGTTTGAATTTGGGTAGCGTCACTTTTACCGTTTTAGAGTTTTGCCCCTTTACAAATTGAAAAATTGATGATTTTTTTGTTTCCGTTCTCTAACTTAAGTTTGCCTTAACCAAATATTATGAAACTTATACACAATGCTTATTGCCACAAAACTCAGATCTAGATTTCGAATTTGGATAGCGTCACTTTTACCGTTCTTGAGTTATGTCCCTTTATAACGTTATATGCAAACAGGGGCATCATCCCATTGACACATTCTCCATTTATCTTAATAGCTCTCAGATAAATGCAGTACATTATTATTTTTTTGTTATATTGATGCATATATTTTATTTTCTAAGTCATTTTATGATGAACAGTTTAGAATATGTTTCTTCAGAGTAAAGCAGTTAATAGATTTTATATATTTTCCCTCTAGGATAGGCAGACATTTAGGAGAATTGTTTTGAAAACTGCATTCAACAAAAGAAAGATGTACGAGACTCTAATTGAGGGTGTACCAGTATTAAAAGCATTAGAGGTTTGTTTTATTGCTTATTACCTTTAATCTTTATGTGATTCAGTTTTTAACTGCATGAAGAGTGGTCAGAGCAGGTGAAGAATCCTCTCGTGTTTACCTGTATGAAATTGTTAGAGTGTTTTATATTACCTATAACTTATTATTACTTATACTTTAAAGTTTAAGAGTGAAGTTGAAATCACTCTATAACATTAGGTAATGAAACCCCCTTTAAATGTGTATATGTATAAGAAACTCCAGGGTTTAAACTACTGTTAAATTTTGAGTGTGATATTACAGTTAAAGTTCTAATCTTATAGTTTCCCAGTAAGAGTATTGTAGACGATTCATTAGTTGAGAATCATGAATATGTATCTAATGCCACAAGGTTTTAAGCCAGTGATATTGTTTGCCTCAAATTACAGCCGAAATTCGGCTTTTTCCCCTAGAGAAAATTCCCAATTACTAAAAAAAATGGCTTAAAATTCCTCCCAAAAAGTTTTACATTTTCCCAAAACAGTGATGGCATTGGCAGTAATGATTGTAAATATCGTATTCATGTTATTATTTTGATATTAGAAAGCACTTTTGAGATCCGGTTTTCTGATCAGAATCATCATGGTGTTTGTAAAACATGTGGTTTTCAATGCATTAAGTACCATCATTGCTTCTGTTTCTTTCCCCTCTCCGAAAAGTACCTTTTAGGTTGAAAATGTCTGACAACCAAAATATACATGAAAACAACAGTGCAAAAAAGACAGCAAAGGTCAGCAAAAAATCGCTGATGTGTTCAGAATAAAATATACAATTTTCCCAATTTCCATAAAAAATATGCATTTTTCCCAATAAAAAACGGTAGAGGTAGTTTTGAAAAAAGACAACAATATCACTGTAAGCAAACAACAAACCATCCAGTTGCCCACGAAGGCTGCAATATTATTTTACTAAAAAATGAAGAAAAGTTGAAAGATAAAATATCTTTGAATGAAAAGTTTTGTACTGTTTTATATCAGTTTTAGCATAAAAATAGATTGCCTCTTTGCTATGAAAATATAGAATTACTACAAACAGAGAACACAACAACACATGAGATTAAATTATTGTATTATAGGAAGTTCTTTTTAGAAAAATTGCTTCTTCAAATTCTTTAAGAAATTTTTTGAACCAAAATTAACCTGAATGATCACATGCATTGAAAATGTTCCATATACATGAAATATGAATTGAAGCCTTAAATTTTACCTTTTCTTTTTTCTTTTTGAAACCTTGTATTTATTATAGAGATTAGCAATGGCAAGATGAACTGATTGGGGAATCAAAGGAAGTGTTAAAAAATGTCACTTGTCATTTGACTATATCAGATTTCTCAACACTTCTATGTTGTTAGTTGGAATATAATATAATAAAAGCAGCTGTTACGGAAATATAATCAGAAAGAAAGGAAATTGACATATCAATTTGAAATTTGTCAGTTGCAGTCTTCTGTGATGAAAATTCAAGATGTATATTAAAGAAAATCAAAAATGCTTATTGAACAAACTCCATTATGATATTCAGGAAGTTTACATAAATGTAGTTCAACACGGAAAGTCCATCATTTATCTTAATTTGAGTGATTAAATATTGGTGTCATTGGAATTATTGATTTTTAGCTGATTTAGTCTTTTGGAGTTAATGACCTTTAATGATGACTATTATGAACTTTTAGTGCCTTTTATCAGTTTATTAAAAAAAAAGGGGGAGGATATTATAAAATGTATTCAGAAAATTTTTTCTTGCCCTAAATATTTAATTTGTCAAAGAGGTTGATATTTATACCCCACGCAACAAGTTGCGGAGGTATAATGTTTTTGACCCGTCTGTCCGTCAGTCCGTCAGTCCTGTTTCTTGTCATCGCAACTCCTCTCAAACCAGACAACAGAATTTCACGAAACCTTTTTAGATAATAAGGACATACTATGTAGTTGTGCATACCGACAGGAAATTACGATTCAATTCTTTTTCTAGGAGTTACGCCCCTTTGAACTTATTTACTTTAATGTACTACTGCAACAGTTTGTCATCACAACTCCTCTCAAACTACACAACAGAATTTCATGAAACCTTTTCAGATAATAAGGACATACTATGTAGATGTGCATATCGACAGGAAATTACGATTCAATTTTTTTTCCGTGAGTTACGCCCCTTGGAACTTATTTGCCCAATATACTACTGCAACCTTTTGTCATTGCAACCCCTCTCAAACCACACAACAGAATTTCATGAAACCTTTTCAGATAATAAGGACATACTACTTAGATGTATATATTGACAGGAAATTACGATTCAATTTTTTTTCCAGGAGTTACGCCCCTTTGAACTTATTTGCCCAATATACTACTGCAACCTTTTGTCATCGCAACTCCTCTCAAACCACACAACAGAATTTCATGAAACCTTTTCAGATAATAAGGACATACTACGTAGATGTGAATATCGACAGGAAATTACGATTCAATTTTTTTTCCAGGAGTTACGCCCCTTTGAACTTATTTGCCCAATATACTACTGCAACCTTTTGTCATCGCAACTACTCTCAAACCACACAACAGAATTTCATGAAACTGTGTAGATAATAAGGACATACTACATGTATATAGGTGTGCATATTGACAGGAAATTATGATTTAATTTTTTTTTCTTACACTTATTTTATTTCTCCAATGACAATGTGGGGACGTGGGGTATTCACTAAGGTTCTTTCATTTATTTTGATATTGCTATTCACTGAAGATTATATGTAGTTATTTAGAGACGACAAGTAAAAAAAGTGGTTAGTTGACATAGAAAGTATAACTCTATTCTTTAGCCTTTCCTCTCTGATTCAGCCAAAGCCTGAAACCGTTTGTTATTCAAATTGGAATGGAAATAAGCAATCCCTGTACTGTAATTATTGAATAATATTCAAACAAGTTTATAAAATAATCTATTATAAAATGTAGCAATGCATCTATGAAAGGATATGAAAAGGCTTATTGAATAATGAATTATAAATGCTGACCCACTTCCTAATTTATAATGTACATCACTTTAGATTGACTGTTCAGTTTAAAAACCAAACAGATTAATTTCTATAAGGACTTGGTAGTCTCTTATTCAAGAAGATGGAAAGCTATTTAAACTCAATCAAATTGAATTTAAATCTATAATGAATGTAACTGTATAACATGAAGTAATGCGAACCCATTTAAATGTGTATAGATATAAGAAACTCAAGGGTTTAAGCCTTTTTGTTCAAACTTGAGTATGGTATAACAGTAAATCTTTTAGACTGTAAGTTTTCCAGTGGGAGTAACTATAAATTTGATTAAGGAAGTAATGCCGGATATTGTAGTTTGTATGTTGACAGCACACTAGACTGCATTTGTTGTTTTCAGAATGTTGCATAGGTATTTTGACAAAAGGTACGGTTTGATCAATAAGAAAACTACATTCTGCATGCAGTTATTTTAAATTTGATAGTTGAAGTAACCATCTGATTATTTTGTTTATTATGGAAATATCTCATACCACTTAATTCTGGAATTAGAAATAGCTGCTTCATTTAGTTACAGACTGGTAAACCTTGGATTTTACATCAAAATATATGATCTCATCCGATCAAAATGAGTATTACAAACAAATTGCAGTAGAATTTTGGATTTAAGTGTTTGATTTTTTAATAATTGATTGAAATGGTAAAACTTTGTTCTATTAGGAGGCCTTGTTTGCCCAGTGGACCCAATAGTTCTACTGTATCACTCGCCTGTCAACACTGAAGTTGTGTGTTCGAATCCTGCACAGGGCACGTGGGTTAGACTTCAATCTTTAATTGACAAGGATTGCCAGTTTTAATGAATTTTCCTGATGAAGATGGATATTTCTCTCTGGGCACTCAGGCTTCCTCCACCAATAAACACTGTCTGTCAAGAAATAGCCAATAGTGCTAAAAGTGGCATTAAAACACCAAAAATCAATCAATCAATCTTGTACTATTAATTTCCATAAAACATTATATAGACTTTGAATTTTGAAACTTGCTTATATAAACATCAGAAATTAAACATTAATAAAAAAGAAAAGATGTCAGTGCTTTTGGTTAAGAATTATGTTGATGGCAGAGTTGTTTGTGACGTTACCTCATTGGCAATCAAACTACATCATTTTTATATTCATTTAAATTTCATTTCCTTTATCAAATGTTTTTCAATAAGCCAAGCTTATTTAACATGCAGATGAATTTCTTGGAAGAATTTTCTTTAAGATCTTGGTTGCAAACATAATTTTTAGCATAATGACAATTTACAGGGGGTGGGAGGTTGTAGGATTCTACGAATTTGATTGTTAATCTAGCAACAACTTATGTTTCTTGAACGTTTCATGTAAATGTCTGAGACATGTTAGCTTAAATGTTTTGACTAAAGATCAATACAGCATTAACTTGGTGTTTAAATTGTCGTCTATATTAGGTTTCCATTATAATCACATTTTATTGGCATCTTTCTTCCTCAACCTTTTACATTTTATTACATTATAGTTTTATGTGCTTTAGATCACTCTTCCTGTGTAATGTCACGACAGCAATTTATCTCAAGGTCTTTTACCAGGAGAGTTAAAGTTTTGTTAATGTTGAAAAACAGGGTAGTAATTCTTGCTGCCACAGGTTCAGTCAGCGTTAAATTTGTAGCACAATAAGTTCAGTGTCCTTGGAGTCCTGAATTGATTTTTCTCTACATCTGTCTGATATTCATCTGGTAGTTCTACATTATCATCTTGGTAATGGCTTCATGACATTGTTGAATCTGTTGAAGCAGAATTTTACAACTATTTGATCGTATGGATGAAGAGTTTTACATTAAGTAGTATTGAAATCAGACTGAAGTTGCACTCTCAGAGTCTGAGATATAAATACTCTTTCATGCAGCAAGATCTTGCATACTGAATTGCCACACATTGTTTTGTGTAAATTTTAGATAGATAATAATTAAATTGTGGATCTTTGGGCTTCACTTCTTTTGTAATTGATTATTAAGTAATGGCTATGCTTGATTTTTGTCTAGCCTGTAAAAGGAAGTGAGACATAGCTGTGCTGTTTATGGTGGTGAGGTTATCATTGTTAAAGTTTGTGACTAGGTCAGTTAAAGGGAAACCACAAACCATTTTAAAAGTTTTTTTTTACAAAAACAGGTTAAAAAGTTCGTACGGTTCATGCAGCAAAACCATGGAATAAGTTTCATTTATTTTCATGACATCCTGTATGCATTTGACAGTTTTAAAAACAATGACCCAAGCTTTCAAGTCCTCAACAAATGACCCAAATTATGTGAAAAATTCTGGATCCTGGTGAGTCACTAATGTAATTCAAAATCAAGTTTTCATCATTGAAAATTCTCATAGAGAATGTATAAATCATCCAAATTCTGGGAAAAAAACTTAAGATGGGTCAATAATGCAAGAATTTCAAAATTTAAAACTTCTGGCAGGAAAAGGATGTGGTAGCAATTTTTTTATGTCCAATCTGCAATGATATGTAGCATTATATCGATTTGTCTGTTTGATCTGTAACAGGTTAAAGTTTTAGTTGGAGGTAGTTTACCATGAAGTTGTGGTCACATCAACTTGAAAATTTATACACCGGTTCGCTATGATGTGAACTTTCTAGAATATGCCAAATTAGGATTTTGACCCAGATTTAGCAGTTCAGTGAACACAGAAATGTGAAAGTGGGAGCTGGACATGGTTTCTCATTGATACATACTGGTATTCTTATTTTTAATGTTAATTGGTTGTGTCAGATAAATATTCAGTATTATGACACACTTATCAAACAAACTATTCAGCCCTTTTCTCTCATAATGAAGTACTCTATCACAATCCATGTGTTTCATTAGCATTGATCTGTCTGTCATTTATAAACATTTAAAGTAATTAAGACTTAGTATATAAATTAATAAGAGTAATTGATATGTATGTTCATATTCTGTATTTCAGATTTATGAAAGACAGAATGTTGCAGATGCCTTATTTTCTAAAACATTTGAAGAAGGTTCTTGTATAATAAAGCAGGTAAGTGTGATAAAGTATGCAATGTTAAGAATCAATGTAATATCAAGTTTAGAATAGAATGGTTCTAGTTTTATCTCCAGCTTTTCTTATTAAAGAAAAAAATGACTGAAATCAGATTGAACCCCTCTCAACTGCCTCTGGTAAACAATTTTCCTTCAAACAAGATAGGTGAAAAAAAGATTGTAGTGCCCCATATTAAGCACAGTTCACAGTCAACTGTCATTGAATGCTCACCTTTAATAGGCCTCTCTATCAACCAGCAAGCTCAATGATGCTGAATATTTCCACTTTCCTTTGACAACACTTTACCTATCAGTGTTGGAGACATTAGGTTACTGAACTGGTCTTCAAAATTTAAGTAATTATATGCCATAATCAAGGTAATTTAGGATTATACAAATGTGGCTACTATCTTGGATTTCAAATTATCGTACAGATTTTTAGTGTTTAGCAACTTTTAACCTATGAATGCTCTGCAGTTGCATGAATTTAGTTTCAAAGGAAAGTATTTATCTTTTCTTATGGGAATAACTTTTCATAACAAGACAAAACAGCTTACATAATTCAAAATGGGAGCTTTTCACCATAGATTTCTACCACATTTAAATTTGCAACATTGCTTGTATTTTGAAAGACACCAGAAATCAAAATTGACATTTCTGTGGGAGTTCAGACAGAAACTGTATTAAACAGAAAAATGATCAGCAATACAAATTCTAGTAAAACATCAATATGTCTGAATTGATAAATTTACTCCTCATAGGAGTGATTGTCCTTGAATGACTATTTTTAGAAATCTATAATAGAAAGACAGAAACTGTAAATAGCAACAACAAATGGATATACTGGTTTATCTATGACCATCCCTCCATTTCTGAAATTCTCGTCTCATTTTAATAGGAACAATAAATCAGTGCTCTATGTAATTTGGTATCATAATCAATATAAAAATAAGAAGATGTGCTTATGATTGCCAATGGGACAACTAACCCCCAAAGTTCAAATGAAATGGATGTAAGCAATTATAGGCAATCGTACGGCCTTCAACAATGAGAAAAACCAATACCGTATAGTCGGCTTTAAAAGGCCCTGACATGAACAATATGAAACAATTCAATTGAGAAAACTAATGGCCTAATTTATAACAAAACAATTTAAGAAAAACAAATGTGACAGACATGAACCAACGACAACCACTGAACTACAGGCTCCTAACTTGGGACAGACACATAAAGAATGTGGTGGGGTTAAACATGTTTATGAGCTCTAAACCCTCCCCTAACCTAGAGCATGTTGTACTGTGTGAATACAGTGATGCATTTTATTTTATACACACATTGCTCATCAACTTTTAAACAGTTTACCTAATACTTTATATATTCTAGCACATAATGGCCATGTATGGAATTTCAAAGCATTTTTCTCAAGAACTATGAATCATTACTTACTGAAATTTGGTATCAAGCGTGATATTCTTACCCATCATGGCCGTGTATGAAATTTTCGCCAAACTGCAAATCAGAGCTTCCTAAAATTTGATATTAAGTTTTATGAGCATGCTATACAGTGTGATGCATTTCCACATGCATTGTTCATTATTTTCCTGTTTACTGAATTTTTATAAAGGGATATCATTAGTGAGCAATAACTCGCAGTACATGTTGTTGGGATTGGTAAAAGTAAGCTCCCTGTTTATATTAAAAAATTGTGGTTTATCTTTCCAGAGTTGTGAGAACTAACTGTCAGATTTAAGACAATCTTTCACACGCCACACACTCTAATATGCATTCATCAGTTTAATTCAATCTTTCATTGTTATTTAATAATCGATTAAAGTACATTGAAGTTTGAAATGTTCAGATTTGCTATTCTAGAGTTATGAACCCTTTATGGTCAAAATTTAAAGCAATATTTGTATCCTGAAGGATATCTTCCTTCAGGATTTTCTGTAGGGCCATTTTACTGACTTCTGATTGAATGTCTACTACTATATTCTATTTTATTCTTTTAAAAATTTCAACTTGCATACAACAGGTTCTTTTGTGCTATCAGCACAGCTATTTATGTTTATACTCCACACAACCTGAAATTTATAAATTGAATACTGTATTTGCCTATTTGATTCAGTATTGCACACTTTTAACACACATTTTTAGCTAGCTTTTCTCATCACTTGGCGTCCGTCGTCGTCGTCGTTAACTTTTTACATTTTGAACTTCTTCTAGAGAACCACTGAATGGAATGAAACCAAACATGACATGAATGTTCCTTATGAGGTGCTGACCAAGTGTTGTTACTTTGAAGCCGATCCATCATCCAAGATGGCCGCCAGCGGGGGACTTAGTTTAATATAGAACTCTATGGGAAATATTTACAAATGTCTTCTTTTAGAGAACCACTGAATGGAATGAAACCAAACATGGCATGAATGTTCCTTATGAGGTGCTGACCAAGTGTTGTTACTTTGAAGCCAATCCATCATCCAAGATGGCTGCCAGCGGGGGACTTAGTTTAATATAGGACTCTATGGGAAATATTTACAAATGTCTTCTTTTAGAGAACCACTGAATGGAATGAAACCAAACATGGCATGAATGTTCCTTATGAGGTGCTGACCAAGTGTTGTTACTTTAAAGTTGATCCATCATCCAAGATGGTCGCCAGCTGGGGACTTAGTTTAACATAGGACCCTATGGGAAATACATACGAATGTCTTGTTTTAGAGAACCACTGAATGGAATGAAACCAAACATGGCATGAATGTTCCTTATGAAGTGCTGACCAAGTGTTGTTACTTTGAAGCCGATCCATCATCCAAGATGGCCACCAGCTTGGGACAGTGTTTAACAGAGGACCCTATGGACAATACATACAAATGTCTTCTTCTAGAGGTGCACTGAATGGAATGAAACCAAACATGGCATGAATGTTCCTTATGAAGTGCTGACCAAGTGTTGTTACTTTGAAGCAGATCCTTCATCCACGATGGCCTCCAGCGGGGGGACTTCCTTTAACATAAGACCCTATTGGAAATACATACAAATGCTTCTTCTAGAGGTGCACTGAATGAAATGAAACCAAACATGGCATAAATGTTTCTTATGAGGTGCTGATGAAGTGTTGCTACTTTGTTGCTGATTTACTGTTCAAGATGGCCACCAGGATTTTTTTATTTAATTACAGGGCCAATATTTAACCAAATTTGGCCTCACTCATTATTAGGGTATCTGTTATGATTTTAATCTATTTTAACATGATTTCGAAAACCAAAGTAGAATCAGGTGAGCGACACAGGCTCTTGAGAGCCTCTAGTTTCTCTTTGCAAAATAGACAAATAGACTAAGCTTCAACTAAACCAAAATTGAATTCAATATTTTAAGAAACAAAAGAAGATTGCTTGTCTTTATGCTGAAGTAGATACATGTACTAGAACACATACTTCATTACTACATGTCATTTTCTGGTTTGTTTGGTGACATTGTACTTTTCACCATTAAAGAATTACTATACTGGTATAATTTTTCTTTGTAGGGTGATGATGCTGATTGTATGTACTTTATAGAAGATGGAGAATGTCGAGTTACAGTTACTAATAAGGTTGTATTGATAAGTAATTATAGGTCGTACCTTGTATATGAACAGAAGTGTTAATTAGCTGCTAAAGATTTTGTTATTTTGGCCTAGTTTTCATGAAAAAATTGTCTGGTTGAAGTCATTTGTGAAGTGAAATTATAATCAGTTGTTGGTAAACTGATGAAGTAGTCATGTTACCACATTTAATTACAAATGCAACCTTTAAAAGACTAGTAATTTGTAGGAAGCCATGCATTTCATTAATGTTGTGTAATTTTTTTATTTCCAACATGAAAGGTTTCAAATTTAATGAAGCGGAAGGAAAAGTTTATTGTAATCAATTCTTTTAATGTTCTTAGTTTAGCTCCACAATACAAATAAGAAAAAGACTATAAATTAGACATATGCATTGGAAATGATCCTCAAAAGACAAAAGAAATATTTTAAAAATAAAAATAAGTAAAATAAAGTCACATGTGAACAAAAATAAGTTCAAAAGACCTCATTTATGATTGACATAAGTTACTAACTAACACAATTATTCAGTTGGAAAAAGAAATGAAGTTTAGGTGTTCACACATTATTTCTTTAAATGACCTTGGAACATATAGAATATGTTATATTGATATATTGTATGAAAGTGATACTACCGCCATACGTCTCTTTTAAAATTCTATATTGTTATTATAATTACTCCTTTGTGTTGATATTAAGTACTACTGAATTAAAATTTAAATTTTACAACAGATTAAAAGTTTCTTTTTATTCCATGTAATTTGTATCTACTAAGGATTAACACATTTTTAAAAGATTTACAGCACATACATGTAAATAAAATGTTACATCAATACAAATAAGTGTAGAGTCCAAAGATACATGTATGTACTTGCATGTGTGCAAAGGGCAAAGTATTACAAGTGTGAATTTTCGGATAACTGACTCAATTGTATAGGAAAATCATATTTAATTAAAAGAATAAGACAGAGAAAATATACTCTATATGGAAAAAGTTTCCGTACTTTAAAGATAAACACATTTATTTAATGAATATTGATATCAAATGGACCTTGGCCATCTTTTTTCTCAAAAGCTATCAAATTCTTTGAATAGATTATTCCTTTGGGGATTTGAAGAACAGTAATCTTTTTTTTTTATTATCCTCCCACCTGTAGAAAAATAATACTGCACACCACATCCCTAAAGGATAAATGACAAAAACAGACAATCTCAATTAAGGATTTATGATGTCATGTAAAAATCACATTGGAATAAGATATCTGCATCAAATAAATTTAAAACTTTTTATGCCTCTGCCGTAGCGGAGGGGGCATTAAGATTTACCCTTGTCCGTCTGTACATACGTATGTACGTCCCAAAGTAGGTTTCCGTTCTCTAACTTTAGTTTGCCTCATCCAAATGTTATGAAACTTATACACAATGCTTATTACCACAAAACACAGATCAAGTTTGAATTTTGGTGGCGTCACTTTAACCGTTCTAGAGTTATGCCCCTTTACAAATGGAAAAATTGCTGAATTTTTTGTTTCCGTTCTCTAACTTTAGTTTGTATCAACCTAATGTTATGAAACTTATACACAATGCTTATTACTACAAAACACAGATCAATTTTGAATTTTGGTGGCGTCACTTTAACCGTTCTAGAGTTATGTCCTTTTACAAATGGAAAAAATGGGGCATCATCTGTGTCCAATGGACACATTCCCCATTTATTTTTAATAATCACAGATCTGGAGAAACATAATTTTGTGCTAGGATCCTAATCAAACTGTCATATTGTAATGTTTATGTTAAAATTTTCACAATAAAATATTGTTTACACTAACAACAATTGAAATTTAGGTAAAATACTTATTCCAAATTGATTCCTAGTAACAAAATGATTTTTGTGGAATTGAAATCTGTAAATTTAATTATATTTATTCTAAAATCTCAAATTTTGAGAAATATATTTTTGTTAGGATTGCAGAAATAATTGATATATTGATAGGATATGCTATTCCAAATTTATTGTACATTGTAAGTGTCAAAAATTATCAGTCAAGTCTCTTTTATTGAAATGGCTGCCAGAATACATTAAAACAATCATAGTCAGCTCAGATGTTAAAGAAACTTGATATTTACATCAGGGCTTCCAAAATTATTTTTAGCCAGCCGGACATTTTATATATTATCCCGATTTTATTCCCTTAAGACTAAATAAACAAAAGGCAATTATGGTAATCAGTTGCCGAGTTGGCCATCCCAATGTCAATGATTGACATGAAAAAAAAACGATATTAAACTTTCTTTGATTCAAATTCGTAAATTCCGTGTACGTTTGCAAAGCATGAATGAGTGTAAGTAGCTCTTTCTACGTTATTTCTTCAAGAAAATATTCGAAATAAACGTGAGATAAAGGTATCAATGACAGTTTAAGCATTTTTTGAAGAAATTAGGATGCATAATTAAATTTCACACCTGTGCACATGCGCACACGTGTACTAGTTTAAACAGAGACATGTCTCTGGTTCAAACAACGTGGTTATGACGATTTTTCATTTTCACCTTTTTAACTTTTTCATCAAATCATATTTGTAAAGGTATTTCTGATAATTAAAATCTTTTTGACTAAATTAATTAGATGCAAACCGCTAATGGTAAGAAAATAACTTTGAATAGACCGATCAATGTCCGGTTCAAAATAGTTTACCTGTCATCTGAACAGGTAAATTTCAGCTGTTCGACAACTAATTAGCCTTGATTGAAATGAGAAGGTATTAAAGTAGGGGTTGTTTTGATAGTACTTAATGATCATGTCACTTTTATGACCGGAAATGTGTGGCTGGTAAAGGCAAAACGCTGGGTCAAAATGATCGCGAATTATGTTAAATTGACCGTCTCTTAAAGCCTTGAAAACTAAAAAGTAGATGTCCGTTTCATGCTTTGCCCAGCCAGACTTTTACCGGACATTATACAAATGTCCGGAATATATGACCGTTTTGGAAGCCTTGATTTACATAGAACATATCTACAAGTTTATGAAAATTGATACCATATTAAATGTATTGTTTTTTTGTATATCCATATTAATTATTTGTTTCTGCAGCTGACACATGACACAAAATGTGGAATTCCCTTCCTGACATAGTCATTTTTCTCGTTCAGTAAAGTTTCTATGAAAAAAAAATTCTTGATATATTTTTTGTAATCTGCCAAGCTTCCAGTACAGTAGCCTTTAAAATTCTATGTGTTAAACAAGTTAATACTGTGAATATTGATTGTATACACTAGCTATAAACAAGTTCTTATATCAAGGATGATTATTTTGCAGGCTGATCCTAGTGGAGAAGAAGTTGAAGTTAAGAGATATAACAAAGGAGGCTATTTTGGAGGTTGGTCTAAAATTCTACTATAAAAATGAATATGTATTGAAGACGAGGTATTGATATAGTATTAAACACATTTTTTTCTAGACTTTATTGATGTGTAAGCTTGGGCCAATTAACTCTCAATTATTTGGAATTTTATGTAAATTTTATAAGTCAGTTGCCCAGTTTTCACATCAATAACCTCTAGAAAAAATGTGTTTAATCTTTTATTATTCTCAACCTAAACATATGATATTGTTTTCATTCATTTACAACTTTCTTGGAACTCCAGAAGTCAATTCATTTGTATTGCGCATGAATAGATCACAGTGTGATCGACAGTGTGTACATAGGATCTTAGAGTTGTTTCTGTACAATATGATATGAAACCTTCTACCAATGCCTTTCAAATTTTGATATATTGTTATTGATTACAAAATGGAGGTCAACTATAATGTTGATGATTTTCACTATTGCTGTTCAGGAGTTATGGTCCTTGATTGCTTTAAGAATAGCACAAGTAAATGTGATGAAACTGGGTTTGCTGTTATTTTGATTGCCTCTTATTAATTATGACATACAAAATGAACAGTTCATCCATAATACAGTACAGTTTTCAAATGTCCTCTGTTAATACTGATATCAATTCCTGGACATCAACAAGGGACATAATTCAACCTTCATCTTTGCATGATTGAAATGATTTTGTGTATAAATGTCTGTTTCATAAAAGTATGTAAGTGTGCTCAGGTTGAGGTTGCAACTTCCTTCACACAAAGTTGGCAGTTGAAAATGTTTTTGTTACTCATTCAGTGTACCGTAACACAAGTGTCCTTCATTTTACCACCTATAAAGACATAACAATGAATTTATATAAGCTGTGATTTTTCTTTTGGCAAGGTACACTTTATAAAGGTTATTTATTACATTAGAGTTTCATTGTCTTTAATCTTACAGTTCGAAAAAATCATTTTACATTAGTGATAACCAGTTTCTATTATGGCTTTTGTCCCTGTGATGGGATATAAAAATAGACGATAAATATCCAGATAATCATCAGCTGAAACTTGTGATATCAGCAAATTTTATTTGAAATTCAAGACTTGTTCTGCATTGTTAAATTTCCTATGGGACTAGAACATTCATAGATGAAGATGAATTCTTGCTATTATATGCCTAAAAATAATTTTTCTTGGTAAAAAAATCAGAATTGTTAATATCGTGATATTGGTAAAATTCTCAAATTGACAAAGGATGTATCAGTTGAAAATATCTTTCTTTCTGTGTAAGTGTTGGTCATGGATGATTCAGAAAATATCAGAAACGTACATTTAAAAAAAAAAAAGTCCTTTAGATTAATGTTATTACCAGAATGTGTCAGGTGCACAGAAGGTGGTGGTTTAACAAGGAAACCCTGGACATTTTCTCTAAAGTCAGGACAGCTATTTAACTACAAACATTTTGATTTCAGAACTTGCCTTAGTAACACATAAACCAAGAGCTGCTAGTGTATATGCTGTAGGTAGAGTAAAGGTAGCTGGTAAGTAGACAATGTAGTTTTTATACACTTGTAAATATTCTATGACATAATGATGCTCTCAACATATAACATAGTTTTTACATTGAACCGTATGTAAAAAAAAATTAAAGAAAAAAGCGTTTTTGAAAAACAATCCTCAGTTATCCTTCATAAGATATTCTTAAACAGTTTTATATATAATGACTACTTGTGATATTCATTTATGGCCTCTATATCTAAATAGAAATTCTGTCCAGACTAATGTCAGACCAGAAACCTCTTATAAAGAATCTTTTCTCATTCATTCATATTCCAAGGTTACATTAAAGACACTGACCTATCTTTTATATTAAAAAGTAGCTATTTATTTAATATAGATGTAATTCATTGTACAGAACATGAGATGTGTCAATCATTATCTATAATCAATTATTCCATAACAAAAGAGTGGCCTTTATAAATGCAGAAGTAATTTGTGTGAAGGTTGATGATACACATCAATATAATTATACTTTTATACCATTAATGTCTGCATATTAGCTACAAGTACAACAGCATTTTATTTATTATTTTGGTTTCAATTGAGCCTAAATAGTAGACAAAGTATCATCATTTGTCCTGATTTAATCTGTTTGTTATGCAAATCAAGGAAACCATGTAGTGGAAAATTGAAAAAGCTTGTAGTCAATATCTTGTCTATAAAATGATTTGGCAGACAACTAATCATCATTATTTTATGATTATATTTGACTAAACATTGACACCAGAGACAAATCAGGATGATTTTCTATACTTTTTTATTATTGATTATTGTGTTTAGCTGTCATGTTTATAAATGGTCAAAACATTCAAAGTATTTGTTTTCAATATTAAATGTTTTAATCATTTCTGATTGTGGTCCCTTCATAGCAAAGGTGATAATTGTCTATGTGTTCTCTGTCTTTGCCAAAGTGTGATTTGGTTGAATTCAAAACATTTCACTATTTCATTTTTGAAACTACAACATTTTTTGGCATCTTTACTTCATTTTGATTTCATTTAGTTTTGTGCTTTCCCATACTTTAGATTTTAGTTTTTGCTTCTGAAAGTAAGATTTAGACTTATATAATGCAGTCCTTTCCTATAATTGTAAGATTTGATAAAAGTTTAGGAGATTTAAAATGTTGAGTTTTTGTATCATATTGATTACTTGTGTTTCCAATAGCTCAAAAAGAGAAACACTGGTTTTCCAGTGTCCAGAAGTTCACAAGAGAGAATTTGTATCGTACATCATGAATAAGTTAGAACTAGTCAAAAGGATTAATAACAAACTACACTGTATTTGTCCTCAACATGTATCCAATGTTTGCCACTGGATGACAACATTCAATCAGGCTAAAGAAAGTGAATAATCAGGCTCTTTTTATTTTTTGTATATTGTTTTTTGGAGCTGTCATTTACCACAAAAATTGTTTACTAATACCTGCTATTATATTGTTTTGTCTGGGATTTTGAGGATTTGCAATTCCAAAACTTAGGACTTGGTCTTTACTGCTTATATTAATTGAAGATGGCGTGCAACACCCTTTTCACTTATAAAACTTGAACATAAATATGCTCCCTGGAAAATAATTTCTTGAGCATATAGTCTTATTTTATTCAATAAGTAAAACAAAAGAGAATATTCAGAAGACTTTTTAGGGACAGTTTCAAAATTAAGACTACTGTAAATTCAGTTATTATTGCATGCATTTATAATGGCGATTTTTGGAGAATGGACAAAAATGAGAGATTAATTATTGCGATTTCAGGGAAATCTGCTACAGATATCAAAATGCAAGTTCTTATTATTGCCATACTCACAGAGTCGCATTATTCGCATTAAAAAAAACCTCACTGTAATTTCTTAATTTACAATAAAAAAAGTATTCATCAAGTGGAAAATAAAAAAGGAAACTGATTGAACATATGCTACCTTGTATCACAATGTCTCAACACAGATCATATATCACACTACTTTGTATCACAACGTCTGAACACTGATCATATATCACACGACCTTGTATCACAATGTCTCAACACGGATTATATATCACACTACTTGTATCACAACGTCTGAACACTGATCATATATCACACTACCTTGTATCACAATGCCTCAACATGGATTATATATCACACTACTTTGTATCACAACGTCTGAACACTGATCATATATCACACGACCTTGTATCACAATGTCTCAACACTGATCATATATCACACTACCTTGTATCACAACGTCTCAACACTGATCATATATCACACCACCTTGTATCACAACGTCTCAACACAGATCATATATCACACTACCTTGTATCACAACGTCTCAACACTGATCATATATCACACTACCTTGTATCACAATGTCTCAACATGGATCATATATCACACTACATTGTATCACATTGTCTCAACACGGATCATATTTCACACTACCTTGTATCACATTGTCTCAACATGGATCATATATCACACTACCTTTGTATTTTAATGTCTCAATATGGATCATATATCACACTACCTGGTATCACAATGTCTCAACACGGATCATATAGCACACTACCTTGTATCACAATGTCTCAACACTGATCATATAGCACACTACCTTGTATCACAGTGTCTCAATATCACCCAAAGTTACTTGTTTGCCACTTCATGACTCTTGTATCATACTTATACTGATTGAAGCACAGATTATGTTTTATTACATTGTAAAATTCTTTTTCAGTGCTAGATGTACAGGCATTTGAACGACTACTAGGACCATGTATGGAAATAATGAAGAGAAATATAGATGAATATGAGGAACAGTTAGTTCAGGTATTTGGTTCCAAAGCCAATGTGCATGACCTGAGATGAACTACAAGGGTGGACTCTGTTATTTCATTTTTTAAGTTCCATAAAAGGGAATATTCCCCATTTATGATATTTTCTTAATTAGGTGTTATGATGGATTTTGGTGGTGCTGACGTTTTCATTAAGATTAAGAGATAATGTGGGATTATTGTTGGTATTTCACATGTACATGTATTTGAACTCCACATTTTTTCATAAGCAATAGTATTATTGTAATTTTATTATTAGATAGATGTATTCCAAAATTAGTCTCTTTCTACAGTAACTATTCTGACTCATTGTATTTGTCATAATTTTACAATTGCACAGCATTTTGATTTGTTAACTGTGCATCTCTATCAGAAAATATTTGTCAAGTTAAGAAAACAGCTATGTGAAAAAACACTTTCTTGCCAACCTTGAGACAAAATATATGACTTGATAACATATACAACGTAGTAGGAAGTGGTACTGTCAATATTTAAAAAGTTTCCATTCCTTACTGCAGAAGTTTTGAAGGTAGAAAATGTACTCAACCAGAAAATGCATTTGAAATTAAAGTGCAAAATGCATCTGGCTTAATGACCTACAATGTGTTTCATAGTTAGGACTATATATTTAGAAAACAAAGCATTTATTATAATATTTTCTGTAATATAATTTTAGCTTGATGCCCAACATTTATAGAATGAGGTAAAAACTGAGTTGACACTTTTACCCCCTCCCCTCTTACTTCACTACCTCTTTTAATATTGATATATTCTACCTCATTAGAAAAATTAACATCACTTTTATTATACAGAAAACTCCAAGATATATTTAGGTCTCAAATTATATGACAGACAGAAGATTTGTTTCCTTAGATAATGTAGATATTTTTTTTAATTTAATTTTTTGGCTTTTAGTATATTGTGTTCCCTTTTGTACTCGGATCACATTTCTCAGTGAAGTATTTATTTTAGTCAATTCTTGCTTATTATGAAAATCGAAGGGACAAACTAGATATTATCCTTTTAATTTAATGCCCTAAACATTTGTAATCATTTTTGAAAGAATCTCTCTGAATTGTGATTTGGTATTCTCAGGGAAAATAAAAAAAGAATTTAATAATTAAGACTTACCAAATTTGGGTATGTGATTTTTGATCAATCTATGAAATCATTATCCCTTTGTGAATAACATATTTTGAAAATGAAAATTATTGAATTCTAGCTATTTTGGTTTAATTTGAAATTTGAAAGACTTGTACTTCAAAGCAAAATTAATAATTGTATTAAGCATACATGATTTTGGTACCCTATGATGTACGTGTGTATGTCTCTCTTATAGTCACTATGAGTGAATCTCTTTTCTCACAATTCACTGTGTGCTTATCTGGTTTGTAGTCTTACTTGTGTAATACACTCTTAATTGATACTATGTGCAAATCTTAGTGTAGATGTATAAATCTTAAATTTATTTTGCAGCTTGACTTGGTTGATGCCAAGCCTCGATAGTATCATACATGTAAGAAATTCTAATTTCTTGGTGTAGTCTTTCTTATAACACAATTTGATATGAAGGTCAATGGGCATTGGTTAAGGATTAATGCTAACACTTTATATTAACATGTTTTATGAGTTTCTAATGTGGTGTTATAACTAAATAACCATGCTTTGGCTGATGGGGATTTTTTTCCAATTCTTTTTCAGTAAATTTCAACCGAATATAGTAGAATCAGTATAATTGATTATTTTTAATTTTATTGTTTTACTTTCCCCCTTTTTTGGTTTAAAGATTTTGTCTGGAAATTATCAAAATTGGTTCTTTTAGTAAGAAAAGAAACAGAAAGAAAATTTATTGAATATTATTTTCCATTTCTAACTCATTTGATTTTCAAGTATACATCATTATGTATGATTTATAAAGTTTGACCTGATTATCAAATAATTTAATATTGTTTCGTAGAATAGCTTTGTCATTGATTCTAGTTGTTAACCTGGTAATTCCTGGAACAGCGATATAAATTCATCATACTTGCTAAATTTATCTACAATGTACAGCTGTATTAATGCAAATGTTTTCTATCAAATCGCTAATTTTTTTAGAAGGAACTTTCTCTGTCTTGTATGATTTTAAAAGATTGTGAAACAAATCCTGTTTATGAAATTTAATTGAATAGGATTTACAAATCTATAAATAAAGCTAATAATAACTAAAATGAACAAAAGCTTGACAGCTTGTATGTTATGCTTTATAGATATACATATACTTTTCACATGGTATCTAGACCATGACTTGTAATGCAATGACTTTTTAAATTCGGTAAAAAAAATACGATTTATATAAAAACTAGATCAAGAAGGAAGTAGATGCTTAAATGAAGTGATACATTACAGAAAACTTCATGTTACTGCTTTTGTGCTGTTCTGTCTTTATTGATGAATGAAGATCACTGTAGAATGTTGTTAATTGATAGTGAATGAATGTAGTAGATAATAAACATATATGATGCTGTAGCTTTTAATCTTAATTCAAAGCTCTAGTTCTGTAGCACTTTCAGAATTGTCTAATATTCTACTTAATTGCCATGTGAGGTATTGTTATAAATTTCTATGTTTTCTGTTCAGGGACTTTTATGAAAATCAGATTCGATGACCTTTCGAAAGCACAAATTTTGATCCTTAATAGTTTTTTCGTATTTTATTTAATCCCTTTTCCATTCATTATCAAAACTGGAATATATAACATTTCTGTCTGCAACATGCTTCAATATAAACCAGTTTCATCTGCCTTTATGCAGTAATCAGAATTGTCCCATTCCTGTTGCTCTGGTCAAATATTTAGCTTAGTACTCTTATTAGTGCACAATGTTATGTGAAAAATATGATGTATAAAAGCATTTTAAGAAAATACAGTAAGTATACTTGCTAATAGTTTTGTGAAAAAATCAATCTTTGTAAAGCCACAAGTTTATGGAATCATTTTCATTTTTCGTGAATAGTCAGTGAAGACTTAATCCTTTTAAGTTATGACCATACCAAAAGCAACTCCAAATATATGAACATTTTTGCAACTGACCGATTCCTTACACCTTTAACGATTCAAATTGCTAAATAGCCTTAACATATAATAGTTAAATTTGAAGTCGAAATCCAACCATATAAGTCAATAAAAGAATTTAAAATGTTGATATGGTATTGTATATGTATTGTTGCAGTAAATATATACTGGTACCTTAGATATTTGTTGTAACCTGTAAAATTGTAGCATGATTAATTGAAGTATTTTTTGTGTCTAGTTTAAAATTAAATTTAATCAAACTGATTTACAAAATAACTAAATAAAAAAAGTGAATGAATGAAAACAAAGAATAAGATATATTTGGGAAGTTATATTAACAAGAATCTAAAGTTTAAGTTTCGTTTTTACAGATTGAGATTTATAGGCAATATTCATCGAAAACTTGGGATCGTAAAAAGGGAGGCAAATCTGTCATGTCAGTGGAGTATGAACTGTGTGAAGTACATATATATTTACTTGTGATCTCTTTCCAATTGTATTTTTGCTCACCAGACTGGATTGGTCAAAGTTCATGCCAAAGGTGCTGTTAACAGATCAGGAATAATTTGTATTAGTGGCACTTAAACCAAATTGTATTATAGTACCATTAATTTAAACCTAGAATGTAAATTTAACCAGTGTGTTTATTCAAATATGGTTGAGCTATATGAATCTTTATTATAAACCAAATGTGTAAAGTTTATCCATTTGTAACCATTTGTGAAATCTGTTCAATCATTTTTCTTCCAAAAGATATTTGGATATCGCTGATCATCTATCAGACGAGCTTAATGAGGTCCATATGTCATGTGTGTACTTTTAAAACACTAAGGACGTCATGTTTATTGTATCTGGTATCTTACATTGATGACAGGTTTCTGGGTAAAGGTGTGGAAAAAAGTGTTGGTTAATGGTCTGCTGCAGAATTATAATGATGATATAATCTAATAATAACTAGCTTTATCATTGATTTTATTCAACCCATGTAGGACATAAGTATCATTATCTTCAGATTTTAATGAAGATTGATTCTGTCAAGTCTCCAGAGAGGAATCATGGAAATGCATTGTTATACTATAATTGAATTCTTTTGACTTTTAAGTTGTATGAGATGGTTACATTATATGTGTCTTTTAAAACTATTTAATTCTTCAGTACTGTTTTACGGGTTTTTATTTTTACTTTTGTTGTTGCTTGAAAGTTCTTTGAAATTTGAATACTCTTAAGACAGGTTTTCTTATATATGCCAGATTTGATTTTGGAACAGTCATTGGGAGTGGACAGAAGCAAGTAGAAAGTTGACTTTATTCTTTAAAAAAATATTCTTCCAGTTTCCATTTTATTTTAAAGTATATGTAAAATATATGGCTAGATAAGGATAGTATAGAGAGGATGATACTGATAGATTGTATAAACTTTAGTTTGGGAGTTTACCATGTTCTTGACTAATTTGATTTAATGATATATTGTAATATAATTTACTTGGTAAATAAAGTTGTTATTTTTATTGAATGTTATTAAGTTTATTACAGTTTTGTATATTTTTGTGTGACAGTATACACAAATTGTATGACATTCCATTCAACATGATCTTTTTAGATGATTTTCAGATTCGATCATCTTTAAGACTGTCCCCTGGTAAATAATTGGATGTGTTCTAGTCATAATTCAGTACATTCAGATATTTTATTTTTTTATCTTTTTCACCTGTGACTGTTCTTTTACCTGTGAAAATCAAGGAAAATGACTGACTTTATTTGCAGAAATGACCTAAAAAACCAAATTGAAGCTTGCCATAAGATTTTTGTTTAATGTGATGACTTGTGTTTCTATTGGATGTGTGTGTTTTGGTTTTACTTTACAATCTGTTAAGATTTAATATAATAGTTCAGAGAAGAATATCTTCTTTATTACCAAATAGTTTAATGACCTAGTATAGTGAAGTTTGGTTCAGGCTTGTAGAAAATTACATAAAATTTAGTGTAGGACAAATAGAAGAACTTTTCAGTAACCTTGTAAATGAAAATGTCCATTGTCTGGTTTTCAATCAAAGATTGAAAGAAAGGAGGAGGTGTGGTAAGAGCTGTTATCTGGTCCTTGAAATGGCTAAAGTAATGAAATTCTTCAATCATTTCAAAATTTGTTAATTTTATTGATAAATGAAAAGCTTTGTATAATTTGGACTCTTTATTAAAGTGCAGAAATGTCACTTGTGATTCTGCTTTATGTAAATGCAAAATTTGTGTATTTTTTTTACATAGGTTTTAGGTGAAATACCTGTAAATATGAGTTGAGGCCTAAAAATAATTTACCCATGTTGACATCTTTGAATAAGACTTTAACCAAAGTATATTTTGATGTGGCCTTAGCTCATATCTAAATATTGATGACAAGATCTTAAAATCAGGCTATTTTTGCATATCTGGCAATTTCGCAATAAATGGAAGAAGTTTGAAATCTTAACCAAATACCGGTATTTAAGACAAAATCAGAATAAATATAAATATTGATATCTGATGGACTAATAATGTTTTATGAACTTATAAGGATGTTATTTTGTAGATAATACTTTTTGATTTTAAAATTCAAAGGGCAAAAGAAGTGGCTTTATCATACCTCCTTTTTTTGATAAATTCTTATTGCTTTGCTGTTTGAATAAAAAATGGAAGCATTTAATTCTGTTAGCAAAGCTTTGATAAAAAAAAATCTTATTCTGTTAACAAAATTGATTTTATTTATTATCATTTATATGTGGAAGAAAAATATCAATTGCTGATTGTCCCACAGAATTTGTCAACAATAGCAATATTTAAAGAAGGATTTTTTTTTATTTTGTATTTTTTGGAGTCCGCCATTAGGGTACAGACTCTCCAAGCCTAAGAAAGTGCTGTAGAATTTAATATTTACTATAAATATGTTGAGTATAAATTATTACTTTGTAGATGTAGATTGTTAGTGCTGTAATTATATTTCCCTCATGCAAGGAAATGCCAATATAACTAAAAATGATATGCATGAATGGTACTTTTTGAATTCATGAACAGGTAATTCATCATGCAGTATGATAGTATAGACACATTCTCATACATTTACTTCTGTCTTTTATACTTGAGCAGGTGTTTCTGAAGAAAAAAATGTTATTGGATCATTTAATGAAAAATGCTATCATACCATAAAAATTAGTCATATTCTGGACTGAGTATGAAAATATCACAATTATTTATTTAGTTCATGCATGTTATTTAATGGTTTTGTAAAACAGTTGTGTGTTGGGAAATATGAAGAAATGTTCCTTAATTGATTAAAGATTTGAAATACTCATGACTAGTTATAGTTGTACTGCCATACTAGGTATCATATAAACAACTAATTAATGAAGTCAGGTAATAATTTAAATACTAGAAATTTACACATTTTTGTTAGCATTTATTAATTCCATTGTTAAACAAAGGGTGAAATGTGAGGGTAATAAATGTGACTTCAGAAATGCTGCATACAAATGATTCAATAAAAGTGAGAACTTTTAAATGCAAGTATGTATCATTCTCTCATTATTGGCATTTATAAAACATTGCAAATATTTTTGTTTATGCAGTACGTTTTACATAAAAGGTGATAAGGATATTTATGACACATTTGTAGAGTATGGTGTTATAAATACTGTAAACCAACTTATTTTTGTGTTTTTTGTCGCGCCTGCAACTTTTGTCGCAAAAGCGAGACATAGCGATCCTACATTCCGTCGTCGGCGGTGTCCACAAATATTCACCCTGTGGTTAAAGTTTTTGAAATTTTAATAACTTTCTTAAACTCTCCTGCATTTCATCCAAACTTGGACAGAAGCTTGTTTATAATCATAAGATAGTATCCAGAAGAAAATTTTGTAAAAAAAAAAATCCTGTTTTTCTGTATTTTACTCATAAATGGACTTAGTTTTTCTGACAGTTAACATTACATTCACTCTGTTGTTAAAGTTTTTGAAATTTTAATAACTTTCTTAAACTATCCTAGTTTGTACCAAACTTGGACAAAAGATTGTTTATAATCATAAGATAGTATCCAGAAGAAAATTTTGTAAAAAAAAAATCCTGTTTATCCGTATTTTACTCATATATGGACTTAGTTTTTCTGCCAGTTAACATAACATTCACTCTGTGGTTAAAGTTTTTCAAATTTGAATAACTTTCTTAAACTATCCTGTATTTGTACCACACTTGGACAGAAGCTTCTTTATGATCAAAAGCTAGTATCTAGAAGAAAAGTTTGTAAAAATTTATTTCCTGTTTTTCCGTATTTTACTTATAGATGGACTTAGTTTTATTCCAGTTAACATTACGTAGAGTCTGCAGTTAAAGTTTTTAAAACATTAATTAGATTCATAAACCTTCTTGGATTTTTACCAAACTTGAACAGAACTTCTTACAATCAAAAGATAGTATCTAGAGGAAAAATTTTTATTAATATTTTTTCCCCTTTTTTGATGACCTGCAACTAACAGCAAAAGTAGGCGAGATACTGGGTTCCGCGGAACCCTTACAAATTTTTTTCCTTCCAGTTGCAAATTTTCGCAATGAATTTTATTTGCATTAGTTTTTTCCTCAGAAAAGTTATTAGCTTACAAAAATATGTTAGTTTACAGTTTATAATAATTACCACTCAATAGTTCTAGCCATATATACTTGCTAATGGCAAATAACTGGTCATGCCCTGTCCTAGTAACATAACCATTTGTCTGGCCTTGAATAAATATTGGAGAATGGCAAATATATGATTATATCAAAACAGTGACAAATGGAATCAAATATCATATGGTTTCTATAAAGCTCAATATTTCAGAAGGAAGAAGAGCTAGGAAATGTTTATTTTCTATATAGATGGCTAACTGGTTGAATTTTGTCTTCCATATGTCCTTTACTTTATTTTCATGTTTGAAAAGACCAGTTTCTCATTTATTATGAGTCATTAGCTCAACAGTTTTTGAAAAGATTGAAAATATTTCAATTTTTTTCCTCAGGCATCACCTCACTAACTAGGATGTAGCCATGTTTGCAGCTATATCTGCATACACTGAATATATAGTTCCTTATAATTCCTATGTCAATATAAATATGTGGAAAGTTTGGGTGATATCTGGAGAGCTGTTATACTAGTCATCAGCCTCATCAATTTGCTTGTTAGTCCTGTTGTATAGTAAATGTATTGATTTAATAAAATTAAGATTGGCATCTGTAATGATCACCAAACAATAAAAGGCTGAAGTTTCAATTTTAAACTCAGATTATTTTTTGTAAATGTCAGTTATATATTGGGTTTTATAACAGTTAGAATAATCTTGACCTTACAAATCATTTACTTCTAACACTTATAACACAACTTCATACACAATACTAAAAAGAAATATCCATTTCACCTTAAAAAATGAAAAACAAAATGCATGCAGCTATTTCTTGGGACATTGGGTTTCCAATTTGAATTTTACTCAAGAGTTTGGTATTTTTGATATTTTACTTTTTATTAAAAGGTTTATTGTGGATTTATTTTATTTCATTTATGGAAAATTAGAAGTCATTTATTTGAAATGACCTGGAAACTTACTAGGTGTGTACAGAAACAACAAGGATTAATATAATTGCTCCTTTTTGAAGAAAAAATATTTGGTTATTTCTTCTATTTGAACAAATGTAAACATACAATTATAACTGTGAAGATGGTTTGATGAAAATATCAATTACAATTTAAAAGAAATTTTTATGTGAACTGCTGACATTGACACCTATTTAACTCATTTAATCTGCTGAAATTTTGCGTTCCTTTCTGCAAAATGGCATTAAAGCAACTAAAATTATATGCAATAGTGTTTTATCAAGTTTTTTGTGGGAAAAAACATATAGTTCCAGATCTTGAAGAAGGCTTCAATTCACAAACTAGTTTGTAGCCATGTTTGCCTGTAATTCTACAGTCACTGAAATATGATTTCCAATGCTTCCCATGTTGAAGCAAATATGCTCAAATGAACTGAAAATTTAGTTTAATCATTTGAGATGCTTTCCTTAAGTATGTATGTCGGTACTAGTTTTGTCAATTTACCTGCTAGTTTGATCATTGCTTTGAGTAAGAGTACAGAGACATATTTTACAAACAAAGAATATGTTTATGTTTTCCTCAACTTAGCCATAAAAGTGGAGATAACTTTTATAAATAAATGTGTAGAAACTTTACCTATTGATTATGTTGGAAGAAAAATGAGTACCGTGACCCCAAGTTTTATTTTATTTCTCTGAAAAGCTCATTATAAGAGTTATCTTCTCGTATTTTATCTCAAAATTCTATTGTTTAATTTTCTTTCTATCAAACAAAATTGGTATTGGAATTTTTAATCTATACAAAATCTATTTTATTTTCTAAAAGCATGATATAAACTACATTTTGGCAAATTGATAAATAAAATTTAAATTTAGACATTCCATCTATCTTAGATGCACATTTATTTGTATAAAAATCATGTAAAACTTATCTAAAAAGTAAGTTATCTAAAAATCTTTTATTCCGTTCAAGTTTTAAATATAATCTATATATTTCTCTATGAATGTAATAAACTATAGTGCAGTCGTGTATTAAAAGATAGCATACCGTTGAAACTAGCATAAGCATAACGTTGTAATCCATTTGCAAATTCTTTGTTTTACATACATAAAAGATCAGAAGATAAGTTACCAATACCAACATTCAATTAACTTTCCAATTTTACCCCCTCATAAGCAAAGCTAAGTCACAGATGTCATTTTAATTTGATTTTCTATTCAAAATGACATGCTCTCAGTCAATCTAATAAAAATCAGCTGTTTGTTAGGCTCCGAATGTTATTTGTACTTTTTACGACACAAACAATCTCATTATTTAAACTAGGATCTAGTAATGGAGTCAAACAAACAGCTGATTTCAGTCATATTGGCTTTAAATTACACCGAGTATAAAAAGATTAAAGGCTGCCATCAACAAATTACCCCCAACTGTGACAACAACAAAAAACCTAAAAGTTACAAAAGACATTGGAAATTAAAAATTGACAAAAAGTTGTGCCAATTACGACTAAATACACTATGCTTGGGATTGAAAAACCTTAGTGTTTCCGTAAATACAACATTTCAAAACAGAAAATAACCGTATCAACTATATATCATGCCAAGACAAGAGTGCTGATTACTGGGCTGGTGATACATCCGAGGACGAAACGTCCGTCAGCAGTGGCAACGACCCAGTGATTGTAAAACCCCCATCAGATATTCCAAGCTAAAATTTTGTGAACGCCAAACGCGTGTTTCGTCTACATTAAACTCATCAGTGGCACTCAAATCAAAACATTTGGAAAGCCATACCTAGTAGAAAGTTAAAGAGCATTTAGGAAACCAAAAATTCCAAATAATTGTCCAAAAAAACAAGTATAATAGATAACAAAAATAACACATGGTATTAAAACAATAATTAAAAGACTTAAAGTGTTCAACTTTCTGATATGAAATCGTGTAGTACTACACTCGAATGTCGGTGTCTACGCTTCAGCAACATCATGAACAGTACAGGAGGGTATATATGCACGTATAAAAAGTATAAACACTTTGGCGAATTTCAACATTCAAACATTGTCACGATGTGGAAAGACAAATAACTAACAATAGCAGATCGTATAAACTAAATGACTATTATACAAATGCTAGAAAGAATTAACTCTTTCTCCCTGAAAACGATAGTGGAGTTCATGGGAAAACATGCATATGGCTGTGAACAGTAACTGAGTGAGCTCTTAGATCGATACTTTGTGTGTGTTTGACTCTTTGTAGATGTTGTTTGCCCTATTTTTTGTCTTTTATTGTTTTCAGTATAAAGTTGTTTTTTTTTCTCTTGAATTTTTTAACATTTGCCATGCCCAGCTGTCTGTTATAGTTTGCTATAAATATACGGTACGTGTTTCATACAGCAGGGTCATTAACAGTACAGAAAGACATGATCTTTTGCAATTTCAAAAATAAACTACTAGTATACAGCTGAAAACAAAAAACAGTCTACGATATTGCTAAAAACTATGAATTAGCGAATCGATATATATTCCCCAGAATATGAGACAAATTAGTAACTGAACAACAACAGTATAATTATGACCATTATTACCGGTATATCAATAAGTCATTAAATCAAGGAGACAGATTTGAAGGACGGTTCCTTAGTTTTGTTTGCTTCCAACCAATACTACCGTAAAAACCTTGAAACAAAATGCCACTTTTTTTTTAAATTCCTGAAATGGAATCATTCTGCCATAATTAAAT